AGCGCTGCTGACTGGCCGCTCTCTATAGCTTGCTCAGCCTGCTTTCTTAGATCACTCAGAATCGCCTGCTGAGGGGAGCACTACCCACAGTGAGGCAGCGCCCCCCACCCACACATCCATCATTAATCAAGAAAATGTCTCAAAGACATACCCACAGGCCAATGCAATTGTAGAAATTCCTCAATTAAGGTTCCTTTCACCAGAAGATGTTAGTTTGTGTCAAGTTGAAAAAACACTAACCAACTAGGGTAGTCTTAAAGATTCTGCTACCAGTAGGAAGAGAAAAATTAATATTGAACATACTTGAAGTCAAATATTTATTTCCCTTTAATGATTTTGTCTTTCAATATTATTTATGATGAGACAAATTTTATTCTCTTTATGTTGAGAGCGTATGTGTGTGTATTTGTGTGTGTGTGTGCATGTGTGCGTATGTGAGCATGCATGAGTGTGTGCGTGCATGTGTGTGTATGTGTGTGTGTGTGTGTGTGTGTGTGTGTGTGAGTGTATACACATGGAGGCCAGAGTTGACGTTGAATATCTACCACTCTTTGCCTTATACTGTGAGACAGGTCTCTTACTGAACATGGTGCCCACCAGTTATTATAGACTAGCTGGCCAGGGGGCTCTGGGGTCCTCCAGTCTCTATCTCTGCAGTGCTAGGATTTCAGATGTGATGCCACATTTGCCTTCTTCTGCAGTTCTGGGATCTGAACTCAGGTCCTCATGTTCGTGTGGCAGTCACTTTACTGCCTGAACCATGTTCCTAGTCCCATATAAAGATTTCTGGTTCCATCGTGGCTTTGAAAAATATTTTCTGGTTTTGAAAAATATCATATGCCAATCATATATAAATAGTCATTTCCCTCATTCTATTTTTAACCCTGGGTAAAATTATGCTATGCCTGACCATTCTTACAAGGTAAATATTTGAGTTTGTGTTCCATTTCTTTGATAAGTAGAGAAGCTCAGGAGTTTCTGACTCATTTGTGTTTAGAATGATCACTGTGACATCTCAGGAACTGGCATCTCAACCACATGCGCTGCCATTCCTGCCCACACTATGTTACTATGGAACATGAATCCCCTGTGCTGAGCTGCTTCACAGCACAGGACAACCTCTCTCTATCCCTCTTTTCTCTCACTCTCTCCTCTGTTTCCCCTCTCCTTTGTGTGTGTCTGTCTCCCTCTTTCCTACCTTCTGTCTCCCCTAAACTTTATCCCTTACTAGATCATCCCCAGGAGCATCACACACATGGTTCATTGCTATCGCTCCCATTTCATTTAATTAATTTCATTTAATTTCATTTATATGAAATTAAAACATAAGCGAGTGGAGAGTACAGCAAAGGGAGACCCTGTTCTCCTTGGCAGAAAAAAAAATCTCAAGTTGTTCATATTCATTCTTTTCTATCCTTCCCCTCCCACTCACTCAAACTCTCTCCAATCAGCCAGTTACTTCCCCTTCTTCAATGAAAATGATACCAACAATTCTTTTAGAGCCAAACAGCTGTCAGTCACTGATTGACACATGCAGCATTTATTCAGTGGGTCATCACCTCCCCTGCAGATGGTACAGGAAGCTTTCTCTTCATCTGCCTTCCCTCTCTGTCTCTGTCTCCATCCATCTATCTATCCATCCATCCGCCTATCCATCCATTCATCCATCCTTCCACCCATCCATCTGTCTGTCTTTTGTTACTTCTCCCTCTTCTGTTTTCTCTGACACTGTCCTGCTGCACATGTATCGGAAGAAGTGGAAGCTTCTTTTTGTTGTTTTGCTGACCATATCCAACCTCAAGTTGCTGATTTACAGTGTCTAAAACTCCAGCCCAGACCTTCTTCCTGGACACTGAACTCAAAAAGCCCACAATATTACTACGGATACCCCAAACACAGTATGCTCAAGCCCCGCCCCTCCCAGACAAAACCACTCACAGTCTACCCACCCCCATCCTCTTAACTGCCCAATCCAGAGAAGCCATGTGCAGCAGGGAATGCTGCTGCTCTCTTCTGCATCTAAGACAGTGGTTCTCAGCTTGCTGGTTGCAATCCCTTTGTAGGTTGAATGACCCTTTCATGGGGTCACACATTATATATCCTGTATATCAGATATTTATATTATTTCCATAACAGTAGCAAAATTGCAGTTATGAAGTAACAACAAAATATAATTTCGTGGCTGGGGGTCACCACAACATAAGGAACTCTATTAAAGGGCTGCAGCATTAGGAAGATCAAGAAACACTGCTCTAGGAGCTTCAAAGTCATTCACAATAGAAGATGAGGTTGCAAACATTTCTAAATATCCTTCTTCTTGAGTGAGGATAGAGCTCAGTGATATACTACTGGCTGAGCATGCATGAGGCCTTGGGTTCAACTCCCAGCACCACACATAAACAAACACACACACGTACACACTTAACCCAAATAATAGTTTCCCATTCACTCTTACCTCTTGAACCTCATCCAACGATTCTGCTGATCTGTTCCGGACACTGAACCCTCGTAGGACATGCTCATTGAACACGGGCTACCACATTCTTATGCCAATGTCTGCATGGCCAGCTCTTTCAACTCACTTCATGATTTCACACCAATGTCACCGTCCAATCAAGACAGAGTACCGGGTTTTTCTTATTCCTGAACTGCGGTCTACCTTCTAAAATCCCAGCACATTCTGAATCTAACCTATGACTCTGTAGCACTCACAGTTTCTAATACTGTGGGACTTGACTGCCTCATAAACCAGGTCAACACCTCTATGCTGCTGCCTTGATCACAAGTGGGTAATTTGAAAGGGAATGGCCCCCCCATAGGCTCATATATTTGAATGTGAATGCTTGGTCATTGGGGAGCAGTGCCACTTGACAGGGATTAGGAGGTGTGGCTTTGTTGGAGTGGGTGTAACCTCACCGAGGAAGTGTATCACTGTAAGGGGAACTTGGGGCTCTTTCTTTCTGCTGCCTGCAGATCCAGATAAACTAACAGACTAATTAGTTTCTCCACATCAGCTACCACCCCAGCAACCATGTCTGCCTGCGTGCTGCCATGCTTCTCGCCCTTGATGATAATAGACTAAACCTCTGAAACTGTAACCGGCCCCACTTAAATGTTTCCCTTCGTAAGAGTTGTGGTCATGGTGTCTCTTCACAGCAATGGAACACTAAGACAAGTATCGAGAGTTTTGTCTGACTTATGCTTGTAGACACTAAATAAGCATTTGCAGGAAAGGGGGATGATTTCCTTCATCTCTTTGCACTACTTTATTCTACTTTGCAGGTTGTTATTCAATTAATTTGCAAAGTTTCTTTATATATTAGGTATTTTAATCTTTCATCTCACATGCTGCCAATATTTTTTTTCTATTTGTTTCCTATTTTTCACCTTTCTTTTGTCTTAAAAAATTACTTGTTTTAGTCAAGTGTGTATCTGTAATCGCTCTCACCTGCAGTCTCCCTCCCCAGAGCCAACGAATGCTCTTCAATTCTGTGCATTGCTTCAGACACGCAAAGGCCAAACTGAGTGACTGTATTGAAGCCCCTCCCTGCCTCACCCAAGATATGAACTACGAATTGCTTTCCTCGTCTCCATAGTCACTATAATGCCTGGATATTGACCCATTTTGTAAATGTACAGTTTCCTACAAAACTAGCTTTTCTACAAAATCAGCCAGTTCTTTAAAGGCTTTTTTCTCAGTTTTTCATTGCTGCAACAAATAACTATTAAAAGTGTGTGCATATATAAGTATATTTGTGCGATGTGTTCTTGAGCTATGGAAATATTGTGATGAAGGAGATTCATTTTGTGACTGAATAATTTACAACAAGCATCTATATAGAGATGAATTATCAAATAAAAATTAAGTAAAATTTGAAAGCAAAGAATTAAGGAGGGTTGGGGAGAATTGTGACCCTAATTATATAAAGCGTATAATTTGGGTAATTGTATCAAAATTAGGACAGTTTTTAGTTGCAAACAACGAGAAACCCAGGTCACACTGGCTGAAGGTGTGATATGGACAAATGGTCCTTACGAAGTATGCACATGCTCATCCAAGCATAGAAGCAGAGGCTGCTCATCCCAGTACTCAGGAGACAGAGGCGGGTAGACCTCTGAGTTCCAGGACAGCCAGGGCTACATAATGAAACTCTGACTCAAAAAAACAAAAACTAAAATGAACCATAAATAATAAATAAAGTATGCACACACCCCCACAGAGGTCCATATACACAGACCATGAGCATTCTCCCAAGACCCAACAACTAGAAGCAAAAAGAAAAGCAATCGTGTTAAAGTAACATGAGATCCTGATAAATCAGAAGTTCAGTTAGTATTATAATGAAGTATGTCGTCTGCAGGCTTATTAGCGCGTATTCATGTGCCTTTGCGTGCAGAGCGGCAGGTGGCTGCTACAAATAGCCTCTAGAGTCCAGTTCCCTATAATCCTCCAAGAAACCTCTCCAAAAACTCATCTGACTTTACTATTCCTCTTTTCTTCAATTAACAGCTGCATGGCAGTCCTATTTGGTTAGGACAAGGATATTCATTTCTTCTCTGATACTGCCAGTCTATTAAGAGGCAAAGCCATCTTCTAGACTAATCTAGAAGCTCCTTCGTGAACGCTTTCCAAGGAGCTCAACAGAGAGCACTGTCGATTAAGGATTTTTTTAAATAAATATTCATCAAATAAAACACAACATCATTTATATTAAAAAGCATTGAGTTAGCCAATAAGAAGCGAGAGCTAATGGGCCACGTAGTGATTTAATTAATACAGTTTCTGTGTGATTATTTCAGGTCTAAGTTAGCCTAAGCATCCAGGAACTAACTAACTAACCTTGCAGCACCCAGGGTTTTTTTATTCAACAAATTAGGTCCAAATTATATTGGTTATATTGCAATCACATATAACTAGAAGACAGTAAATCAGAAGCATAGTGACCCTGAACACAAATTCAAATTCAGTATTCAGGAGTCAAGGAGTTATGTTTGATCACCTGCATATGCTTTTTAATTGCAGATCAAAGTCTTCAAGTTTCTTTTGATATTTCTCTGTCATGTTCCAGAACTCATTAAGGACTGACGATTTCAGATCAGGGTACGGGCACTCCAAAGTTTCTAACTCCGTAGGGTGTTCGCTGAGCAGGTTAGCCTTTTCTTCCAAAGAGTCATCTAGTAACTGCAAGGGATTATTATTGTATTTAGCAAAAATAAAAGATGGGTTGAAAGAGTCAATCATGCATTGTGTCGCACTTACCTTCACACTCCAGGCCGAAAGGTCTTTTTCTAGTTTCTGTTGTTCTTGGTCAAGTTTTTCAAAGACAGACTTGGATTGTTTCCTGACAAAGTCAACCTAGAAGATGTGGCGTGTGGACAGGAAGTGTGTGAATTAGTACAATGCACTCAAGGTTAGTTCCATAGAAAGATACAGTCGCAGAAGCCGGAGGGGGTGAAAAATGAGGGAGGGAAAACCCTTTTGAAGATCGGTGAAAAGAGCTGCTAGGCAGGCAGCCAAGTCTCTTCAAACAAGCAAGCCTCGGTGGGGATTCCACACCCATCACCAAAACTAGGCTCCCCACCCAGTACTGACAGTCACCCTGTTCTACATTTGAGTTCATTGATGGTAAGGCTTCAACCACATCTTCACTCTCCAGCATCCTTGCTACTAGTCTACAATACTAGGCAGAGCTGCTAGCCTAGGTGTAGTTAAAGCTTTTGGTAACATTAAAGCGGAGCTGACAAGCAGAGAGAACACAGGGTGGCTGGTTAGGGACCACAGAGAATTAAAGGGCAGAAGATGACAGCTTGACAGAGGAAGCAGCTCATCTATGGGCTCTGAGACAGGAGCAGGCTTGCTGTATGAAGGGCACAGAACAAAGGCAGCCTCTGTGCTCCTGAGCTCATGTGGAATGGGACAGTGTGGGGCAGGAGATGTGATTGAAGAAGGAAGGAGATTCAGTGGAAGGGGTATGTATGTAGGTGTAAGGACTGGGAAGAGTCCATGGGAAATTTCAGTAGTCAAACAATTTGATCTCTCTGTACTGGGGCAGACTCTCAAAGTGTGTTAGGAGGAGGGGCAAGGATGAAGGCAGGAGGATGAGTTAAAATGTGGGTGCCTGGCCATATCCAAGCACATGTTTAAGATGTTGAAGAACCCTCTACTTGAACACACAAGGCAGGTTGCTGCTTCAACTGTTGTATTGGGGACAAAAAAATGAAATATTACATTGTGTTTTAAAAAGGCAACATACTGACCTCTTGCAGAACCATTGCTGACTTAGACCCCGTATGGCAGGGCGCATGCTGGGAAGTGTGGCGCTGTCTCTTCAGGTCTGTTCTCAGCTGATGTATAGGGTGGATCACAGCTTTAAGATATGTGCACCATTGTTCTGCCAGCTCTTTCTCTGTGTGAAGTGAAATTGAATCAAGGAGATGCATTACTATCTTAAATAAAGAACAGATTGCTAGTTGATTGACTTTTCATATTTGTTTAGAAAATCAAACAGGTGTTACTACTAAAAGAACATGAAGTGAGTGACCAACTCCCATAGTTCCAAACAAGATTCCCCTTTATAAGTAGGTTCAAAACAAAACAAAAAAACTCACCAAAATTCATAAGCTCACAAAAGCATTCATTTCCAATGTTCTCTTCATTGAGACAAGATTTTATTTCAGACTCCAATTTACATCTGAAACAGACATGATCTCAATCAATTTCTTTACAGTCATAATCACACATATAGGCTTAAATGCGAGTAGGGTAGGAAAAGTCCACCGAATTTGGTTCTGGTCGTCTTCTCATATGTTCAAGCCATGTTCCTAACATGGGCAGAAACAACAGGATGAACACGGGCAATGGTCCTTGCAGAACTTGGCAGCATGTCACACTAAGCGTCTGAGGACACTGGGAAGCCACCCCACCTGCTCAAGATTCAGCTCAGAGAGACTCCCAAGGGGAGGAGTTACAGATGGAGGTAAGAAGTAGGAACTGCGGCTGGAGAGAGGGAGAGTGGCCAGCCTGAACCTCCAAGGAGGCTACTTTAAAGTCAGAGCTGATGGGAATATGAGGCAGGCAAGTAGGAACAAAAGAATATTTTGCTTTTATCCAGTAATGATCAATAAATGTTGATAATCTTTTACTACATGTTTAAAGATACAGTTATTTCTAGAGTAAAGCCACATGCACCTGTTGGTAGGCATTCAACACATTTCTGTACCCCTTGATTATGTAAATAAATCAGAGATTTGTTGTTAATGGGTTAATGGATACTTTAATATTAAAATGGCATGAGAAAATAGTAGCAATTTTAATACTTCAATATGATTATTATTTTCATTTTCACAAATATGCTTCTATTCTTTAACTACCTGTATTTTATATAATTGGAATAACAGCATACTTAACAATTCATACTATATTTTTGTGAGTTTTTTTCCTTATCAGTGATATTTTACACTATTTCCAAACGGTTTATTCATCAGGCTGACCTCTACAGATGGTGGCTTTGCAGACAGTGATACATTGTCCACAAATGGCCACACCAAAGCTCACTGTGTCATAGATGGAAACAGTAACGTGAGCTTCTGGGAACGTGTAACACAGTCCACAGGAAAGAGGACTGGAAGCCTGCTAAATTGCAAATAAAAATTCACAACTTTAAATATTACACAAATTTGATATTTGGAAGTTTTATCTAGTTCTCTAAACAGGTCCTTTAAGGTCCTAACTTAGGCCTCTGTGTGTGCGTACATGTGCACAGTAGAGGTCAAAGGTCAGAGGTTGACATTTGGCGTCTTCTTCAATCACTCTCCACTCTATAGTTTTTCATTTTTAAAGACGTATTTATTTTATTATTTTATGTGTTTGTGTGTTCTGCTTACACATATGTACATGCACCTTGTTCACATGTATGATGTGCACCATATACATGTCTGATGCCATTGAAGATAAGAATCTAACTCCGGGCCTGGAGTTAGACAGTTGCCAGATTTTCTGTGGGTGCTGGGATTCTCACCTGGGTCCTCAACAAGAGCAACAGTGCTCTGAACAGGCGAGCCAACTCTCCAACCCTCCGCCTTACTTTTCGAGTAAGTTTCTCATTCAACCTGGAGCTGGCCAGCTCAGCTGGACTTGCCAGCCAGCCAGCTCTACAGATCCCCTGTCCCCACCTCATTAGAACACATGTGGGCCGTCATGCCAGGCTTTTTATCATGTGGGTACTAGAGATGGAACTCGGGTCCTTGTGCCTCCCTCCCGAGCTCTTAACCAGCTGATCGATCTCCCAGCCAGCTCCCCTTGGTTTTCCTAGCAAGGCTGGAGAACTCTACTTCGATGCAAATGGAACCTTCTGGGGAAAAGAAAAGCCAGCAGCTCCAAGGTGATGGAACACAGGAAACAAACCCCAGTGTTTCAATCCCCTCTTCCCACGTACTAGTTTGTTTACCTTTTACAGACAGATTAGCCCTCTAAACCCTGTCAGAAGGTTGAGCAGCGGCAGCAGGGGAGCAATGAGACCTACTTGATATGGCTGTTTTCCAGACGGAGGTTAAGCACAGCAACCATTAACTTCTTTGGTACATACGCAATTATCAAGGAAAGGTTAAATACCATTGTACCCCTTATCTTCTGCAGGTCTAAGGTCCTCAAATGAGGTCTTTGGGTAAAACATAAGAATCTTTTCCTTATTAAGAAAGTACAGTGTGTGTGTGTGTGTGTGTGTGTGTGTGTGTGTGTGTGTGTGTGTG